TGAACCTAAGCTGCCTTTATCGTGGTGGAGCTTGGATTTTCAGACTCTTCCTCTAACCATTAAAGTAACCCTGAAGCTGCACACAGGCTAAAGAGGTCTGACTGGGTGCGGGGTTTTCAGAGTAATTACTAGAAATTTACTCTGGGTGAATTCCTATGTTCACTGAACACACAGAGCAGCCTCCCTCTTTCCTTACCTTCCGACAATATTACTGCAACTTTTTTTTTATTGTTTCAAGCTTCAGTAACGTTTTTCCCCAATGATATCATTACAGTTTTCATCCATGAGTTGCCAAAGTGTGTGTGTGGGGGGGGGGTGAGAGAGAGAGTTTTAAAGTGATTGCAATTCATTATCCTCCCCACGCTAAGCCACACTTCACAGGAAAGGTGGGCATCTGCTTCTATTACAGCAGGCCCCGAGTTCCCTGTTGGACTGATAAGTGGCTGTAATTCACAAAACTTGTTTAAAATACAGACTGTCTTGTTTGTATGCTCACAGAGCAGATTCTCAGTAGCCTTTCTTCTTTGAGGCACTAACTGAGAATTCAAGTGGTTTTAGATTCTTATTACTTTGTTTAAAAATAATCAAGGTTGAAAAAAACCCCGAGGTTCTTGTAACAATGCTAACCATTTTTGATTGAGCACTTACTACCTGTCAGACACTGTGTTAAACATTTTTCAAGCTTTATAATAACCTATGAAAGGGAGAGTGTTATTGGTCTTATTTTACAGATGGCAAAACTGAGACTTTGAGGGGTGATGACTTCTGTACACAGTCTGTAAGTGGGAGCTAAGATTCACACCCTGACCTTGGACTCCAAAGTCCATCCATCATCCAGTTATTAATTAACAAAACCGCCCCTGACCCAGTGGCCCTGTCTGAAAATAACTACTGCCAGGATGACTACTAGCAAAAAAAAAAACAAAAAACACAAAAGAACAGGTTGGCAAGGATATGGAAACATTTGAAACCTTGTGCACTATTGGGAAATACAAAACAGTGCAGCTGCTTTGGAAAACAATGTAGTGGTTCTTCAAAAACTTCAAAACAGAACTACCATATGATCCAGCAATCCTGCTTCTGGATATATATCCAGAGGAACTGAAAGCAAGGTCTTGAACAGATATTTGTACGCCCAGGTTCACAGCAGCATTATTCGTGACAACCAAAAGGAGGAAGCAAACCAAACGGCCATTGATGGATGAACGGAGAAACAAAATGTAGTACATCCACACAATGGAATATTAGTCATCCTTAAAAAGGAAGGAAATTGTGACCCATGCTATAATATGGATGAAACTTGAAGACATCACGCTAAGTGAAATATGCCAGTCACAAGAGGGCAAATGCTGTATGACTCACTTATATGAAGGTATCTAAGGTAGCTAAATACTTGGAGACTAGAAGGTCACTAATGGTGGCCAGGGGCTGGGAGAAAGGAGGAATGGGGAGTGGTTATTTAATGGGTATACCCATTTCAGTTTTGTGAGATGAAAAGTTCTGGAGATGGATGGTGGTGATGGTTACCCCATGTGAATATACTTAACACTACCAAACTGTATACTCAAAAAAGATCAAGGTGGTAAATTTTATGTGATGTGTATCTTACCACAACTTAAGGAAGAAAATTTTTAAAAGCTATTGTGGCTGTTGTAACTCCCTGGCATAGATCTTGGGGGGCTTGGAAACTTCCCAGTCCCTGAGATGTGCCCCTCTGGTTGGCTCAAAGAGATAACAACCCAGTCTTGAATGTCTCTGTGTGTCTCTGGGCCTCCAGCCCGGTCTCTGAGTCAAATGTTATCGGGGTAAACGGGTGAAGCAGACACGGCTGTGTCCTCACAGAGCTTAAGGCCAGCGGGGGAGATGGGCGTGTAGGCACAGAAGGCCTTCTCAAGGGGTTCTCTGAGGTGTCATCTCACCTGGGAAAACGTGATCTCTCCCCTCATCGCATGGGCACTGGGACCATCTGGGCCTCCTCTCTTGAAAGCTTCATTCAGAAAATCTCTGGAAGACACAAAGAAACAAACGGAGTATTACTCAGCCATAAAAACTAATGAAATAATGCCACTTGCAGCAACATGGATGGACCTAGAGGTTATTATACTAAATGAAGTTAGTCAAAAAACGAGAAATATCATAGGACACACTTATATGTGGAATTTAAAAGAGATACCAACGAACTGATTTACAAACCGGAAATAGACTCACAGACATAGAAAACAAACATATGGTTACCAAAGGGGAAAGGGAGAGGGGAGGGATGAATCTGGAATTTGGGATTGACAGATACACACTAATATATATAAAACAGACAAACAACAAGGACCTACTGTAGAGCACAGGGAACTATATTCAATATTTTGTCATAACCTATAATGGAAAAGAATCTGAAAAGGAATACACATTTATATATATGTACATAACTGAATCACTTTGCTATACACCTGAAATATTGTAAATCAACTATACCTCAATAAAAAATAAAAATTAAAAAAAGCACAGTGTTCTAGGCAACTATTTACAATGGACTGAATTTGGCAAGCCAGTTAAAAGTATTTACCATCCCCATGTTAAGAGGACAAATATCTGGGAGTTTCATATCTGATAAGCCAACATTTTACTCGATTAACCTTCTTGCAGCTAATAATGATCAACGTTAGACAAAATACAAAAAAAAAATCCATACCATTTTTAGCCTGTCTCAACTTTCCAGCATCAGCAATGCCTTTGGTACGTCTTTGCCATCAGTTGTCTTATTAACAGCTTTATTAAATTACGACTACATGTCATCAACATCTGTACCTGTTACACAATAACTCCCCTTTTCCTTCTTCAGCCATCACTTAAAATCAGATTATATGGCATACATTTTGTAACCTCCTCAATCTTTCACTAAATATTAACTACATATGAAATTTTATCTACTATAGTCTCTATTAATGATTTTTACCCAACCAAACTCGTGAAACTGGGAGGGGGAGAGTATATAACTCAGTGGTAGAGCATTCTGTTCATTTGAATATGTTCATAATAAGAATGTATTTATGTATTAGTTGCATACTTAAAATCCATATGCAAAGTTAAAAATGAAGAAAGGTGCTTCAGAGAGTAGAGAAAAGCTCAGAGGTGCAAAAAGCAGCCACAAATCTTGGAACTGCCCCAGAAACTCCTAGAAGCAGCCAATATATCCTTCCGGAAATACTACACAGGATACGAATAAGATGCCCTAGGTTTCAAATCCTCTTTCTTTACTGCTGATCACTTGTTTCTCCTGTTCAGGACACATTTACTGAGCATTACATATAGCAAGCACCTCGGGTTCTAGAGTACACATTTTTGAAAGATATTGACACTTTAGCCATCCCAAATGTTCAGTCCACTGGTGCCAGGCAGACCCTCCACAATGAGGCTGTGTGAGAAAGTACAAATGAAGCACACAACGACTGTACGTGTGTCAGGTCTAGATCTCCAGAGACCATTCTGGCTCCACCAGGTCACGTCAGCCTCCATTGCCAAGGTACCATCATCTCCAGCATGCTCATCCTCAGCAGACTGTGGTGGTCTGGATGATCACAAATGAGAGTGGAGCATCGCTTTCCCTCCGTCCCCTGTATGATCCTGGAAGAACCTGCACCTCCCTGTTTCCCCCAAGCTATTCAACAATCTCTCCACTTCTGGAGTTCATGACAGCCACTGGCCCCCCATCACCTTGCCCTCAGGCAGGTATTTACAGATGTCCAGGGACCTCACCCCAAATCTGCTCTCAGCTGCAGCACCAGGCTCACTAGCTTCCTTTGTCCTTCACTGAGCCCCACAGCCTGGGTTCCTCATCTTCATCTTCATCTCCATCTTCCACGCCAATGACCTTGTAAACTCCTAGCTCAAGAAATTGCTTCAATTCAGATCTCCACCAGGCTTCACCCATCACTCCATACTGCTTCCCCTCGAAGCTGCCAAACTCTCGAATCTTACTTGGAGTGGCGCCCCTTTCCTTTTACCAAGATACTTGACCCATCACCGCAGTTGATGGTGGGCACCAATTGTTTTGCTCCCTCTCCATGCAGCTCAAAACCCCTCCGAGTCACTGGCTATCAAATGAGGTACATGCTTGGCCTGACTTTCATGCTGCACTACAATGCAGGACTGGTCAGCTTCCCCACTTCCCTCTCATGCCTCCCCTCCTGTCTGGCTAGGCTGGAATATCCAGTGTATTTGTGCACATTCCATGCTTTTCCCCTCCCAGCCTTTGCTCATGCTGTTCCCTCACCTGGAAAGATCTCCCTTCACATCTCTCCCCATCAGCATCCTGTCCATCTTCTCAGGGTCTGCCTCCATTAAGGCTGTCCTGACTCCCCCATCAGCCCTAATCTCTCCCTCTTTTGAACCACCTAAGAACTTTGTACCTCCTATGGCACTGCCTTCATCTTGAACTTCGGCTATCTGTGGATGGCCGAGCTTTCATACCAGATACCAAGCATGTTGGACATGCCCAGTGCAAGGCAGGCTCTCAGGCTCACCTTCTGAATTAATACCGCCATAGATTGCGTAGGCTAATAAAGTCAAAGTCATGGACTCTGACCTCCTGGGGAGGGGGAGTCAGCTAGCTTTGCTAGAACCTGTTTTATGGCTTCTGGGAACAATCCTTTGTGGTCACAGAGAGTGTGTGAGTCAGTGAAATTCTAGGTGAACAGAATATGCCCAATACATTAATTTGCATGTGCGTGAGACTTTTGTAAATATAGAAGTGTATCAGGAACACAGCAGCCTACCACTTTCTGTATCATCTAATTTGATCCTCACAAAAATTCCTAGGGGAGGTATTTTCTTATATTAAGACTACAACTAAGGTCTCAGTTGAGTTGAGGAAAACTGAGATAGGTAAAGACATACATTCACCCAGTGCTAAGTGTGAGAACTGAGACTTTTAACCTGGGTCTGACTCGGAGACCAGAGTTCTTTGAAATTCCCCACATTTGCACACTTGTATACTTGTGACTTGTCTACTCACAATTACACTCTCAAGTATATTCACAAGTCATGTTCACTCCCACATTGATGATGTCACTGGCACAAACATACCTCATAGCTTACTCTCCTTTTATGTCTTTTTTTAAATTGAATTATAGTCAGTTTACAATGTTGTGTCAGTTTCTGATGTACAAACAGCACAATGCTTCAGTCATACATAAACATACATATATCCGTTTTCATATCTTTTCCATTATAGGTTACTACAAGACATTGAATATAGTTCCCTGTGCTGTACAGTAAGAGCTTTTTGTTTATTTTATATATAGTAGTTAGTATCTGCAAATCTCGAACTCTCAATTTATGCCTTCCTGCACCCTTCCCCCTGGTAACCATAAGTTTGTTTTCTATGTCTGTGAGTCTGCTTTTGTTTCGTAAATAAGTTCATTTGTCTTTTTTTTTTAAGATTCCACAGATGAGTGATATCATATTGTATTTTTTTTTCTCTTTCTGGCTTTCTTCATTTAGAAAGACAATCTCCAGGTCCATCCATGTTGTTGCAAACGGCATTATTTTATTCTTTTTTATGGCTGAGTATTATTCCATTGTATAAATACACCACAGCTTCTTTATCCAGTCATCTGTTGAAGGACATTTAGCTTGTTTCCATGTCTTGGTTAAATCCTAATTACCCACATGTAGTTATTCTGACTGGGGACTTTGGAGCCACCTTACTATTGTTTATTGACAACAAACAACTATTGATATATTTACTACTGAGGCTGGTTTATGGATATCAATTTACTACTGATATATTTATTACTGATGCATTTACTCACTCTCTACAGATTGACATCTTTTCCAGAACAGGAATCCTAAACTGGGAGGCAGAAAAATGAGTTCCATAGCTGCTTACGTCTAATTGTTACCAGAGAGTAGTCTTGTCTCATCATAGAAAGAATTCAGAGACAAGACAAGAAAGTAAAGTGTGGATTTAATACAAGGTGACAGTGCATGCTCAAGGGAAGAGTGGGCAGACTCAGATGAGTAGCTTCTCTGAGTTTCTTTGGCAAGCTGACTATATGGGGCATAAAAACAAATGGGCAGAATATTCATTGGGGAGGGAGGGATTCACGGTCATATTTCCTGATTTTCATCCCAGTTCCATCTTCCCTAGGGGAGGAGGAATTTTTGTCCTTATTTGGCCTTGATAAGAAGTGTCCTGGCATTGGTACATGATGGGTACGTCTTATCTGCAAGGTTAATTTTATTGTAATGTGGGCATAATGAGCAAAAGGTTACATTCGAACTCTGCAAATTCCTGCCTTTTCCCACCTTTCTTTGTCTGCCTCCAGGACACTTGTCAACCCAAAATGTATGGTTTCTTATCAGTCCAAAAAAGGTTTCTGCTTTTTGTTGTTGGCCCAAGGACCTCCACTGTTTGCAAGACATGTGATTTCCTGCCATTTGGCCTGTGCCCACCTTTCTCTGCTCATATCTAGCTATCTGCCTGCTTTAACATAACCACTGCATTATCTGGAGCAAGTTAACCCAACTGTGGAAGCCTCAGTTTCTGCATCTGGAAAAGTGAGGCTCCCTCCAGAGGCTGGGCCCATTTTGACTTGGCATGCTGGCAGACACCTGACTTTTGTGATTTCGACAGCATAACAGGTCAAAAAGCCCTGCTTCTCTTTGGTATCATTAGAATTCTAGAACTCCTTACATGGGGCAGAATTCTCACAACTCTTAACGCTTCCACCCTGCACCTTAACCTTGACAGTAGCTTTTAGAATTTACTCTTTCTTGGGTGTTGCCAAGGGTGATCTTTCTTTCTTTGATAACTTTGGAAATAAATATGCTTTCCTTCCTTCTGACTGTAACAGCAACACATGTTCATAAGTGCAAAAACTGGAAAATACAAAAAAAGTAGAAAAGAAAATCATTCATAATCCCATTCGGGATTAATAATCCCAGGGATGCTGTGGTATACTTCTTCCACGCACAGGAATTTTTTCCTCTAGAAACCTTAGCGCTGGTCTTTAAAACCCGCTCCACTACACAGAATTAAGCGGGCAGCAGAAAGCTCAGCGAGTAATTTCTCTTACTTCAGGAAAAGCTTTCAAGACAAAGGGCAGTTCTGGAGTCCTTAGAGAGATTTAATTACTCGGCATTTAGAAAGACAATGGATCTACTTACACACACTGGTATTTTGGGGCCGGGTAATTGTTTTAACCTTTCTCCCAGCGCTCTCGCAATACAGCAATCTGAAAGCAGGGCTGGGAGCCCTGAAAGGCAACTTCACGGAGGGGTCGCGCCCCTGCCACAGGGACCCACCGGGCCGGCCGCCGGCACCCTTACCTGGGCAGCGCCAGCTCCTCCGTGGTGCGGGCCCAGGCCCTGGCGACC